GTGTGTATGTGTGTGTGTGTGTGTGTGTGTGTGTATGTGTGTGTATGTGTGTGTGTGTGTGTGTATGTGTGTGTGTGTGTGTGTGTGTGTGTATGTGTGTGTATGTGTGTGTGTGTGTGTGTATGTGTGTGTGTGTGTGTGTGTGTGTGTATGTGTGTGTATGTGTGTGTGTGTGTGTGTATGTGTGTGTGTGTGTGTGTGTGTGTGTGTGTTAAAAACTCTCTGAGTATTCTGGGGTCTCGGATGTGATGGGGATGTTTACAGATTCCTGAACACTAAAGTTACATTCAAGCAATGATGTAATGTATCATCTGATATACTGAGTACTAAACTGGAACTCATTGTTGTTTTTAGCACTACTCTGGGAACCAACTGTAATAATAGCTACTATAAAGCTTTTTATTGACATAATGAACCAAGTTATACATCAGACAGTGATAATTTAACAGTATAACACTTCTTTTTGCTGATGCACTTCAGAAATAATAATCATATTTATTACCAGTTACAGAACAAAATAAATAATGTCTTATATTTTTAATTGTATAAAATATCCTATTTTCTTAAATAAACCACTTTCAATAAGAACAGTCAGTCTTTTGAATATTAAAGAGAATGCATGTTAAAAATGCAGGACTTTTTGAATAAGGTCCGTAAATAATTAAACTTAATGACTCTTTTTTTTTTACTTTGTATAAGTAATGTTATACCTTGTTGAACTCTTTTTGTAAATTAACCATGCATTATCTCGGGTATATTTTTTAATTATTATTTCTTAAATAACCAAACAACATAAAGGCATCTCTGAGTGCGGCTTCAAGAACAAAAGTTCGGGAACCACTGACAATAAAAAGGTGGAGAATGTGAAAAGGCTCTGCACCACTAGAGGGAGTACTTTTTTCATTTGAGTGGAGTTAAAGGAAAACAAGACTCACCTTTAAACAGGTGACTAGAAACGAAAGTAGAAAAGGAGGAAAAGAAGAGACGCCATCTCAGGTATTAAAACGGCTGCATATTTTGAGGTAAGTTCAGAACTTATTATTAATGTAACCATGCAGTCATATAAAATCAGCTGCTATTTGAGATTTTTACTTTTCAGTACATGGGATTTCAATACTGTAACACTATGTTTTGAAGGTTCAACAGCTCTGAACAAAATGGCAGTAACGTTGTTATGTGAAGTGCTTTGGTAAATGATTTCTGATATATTCAGATTTACACTGGCATAGCCTATGTAACAAGCAAATAAACAAACTGAAAGTTGCCGTGTGTAATTGCTTCATATTCTGTAATGTGTAGATCCTGTGATGTCTACAAAACAATAGTGTTTTTTGTTGTTGTTGTTGTTTTTTTAAGTGACACTTTTGCATGTATAATAATCAGAAACATTCAACAAACCAGTGGTTATTCATTCTGTTGCACAAACGCAAGAAAAGTGCTGTCAACCTAACTTCTGCTTTTAACTGATATGCGAGTGTGATACACTGAGTAAAGTACACAATCATCGCAGAGTACTGCACTTGTACTGCATTCAAATTTCCACATCAGTACTTGAACTACTAAAAGTACTAAGCTTTTGTAGACTGTTGTGAAACTATGTTGTGTCCAGATTTCACGTTCCTGCTGTAACATTAAACAAATTAACAAATGATTACCTGAATGGTAAAAAAAAAAACCTTGAACAGCAGCAACCAGATGTTTGAAATACATAAGTCAAAAACATAAGTCAAATGAAGTGTAAATCAAACCATCACACACATAAACACTGAACAGGAACATAGTATAGCTGCTAGTCGAGTTCATTTGACAGCACAGCTGTTGTTCTACTGGGCTGAACTGCAGTTGTGCTGTACCGAGTTGAACTTGTATTGCACTAAACATTTCCTGTAATACCCAAAATGTGCTACAATGCGCTATAAGTAAACTGCACTGATCTTCAGTTGTTCTGCAGTTATACAACAGATTACAAGCATACTTATGGGTGTATATTATTAAATGGATAGTCTTCCCCAAAATTAAAATTCTGTCATCACTTACTCACCCTCATAGGACATCATCTATTTGTCAACTATCTTTTGTATTTTCCTAGGACGACACTGCCTCAAAAATGAATCTCCATAACAAGAGAGATAATGAGGGCACTGCCTCGTCATCTGCTGGATCCAGCTGTGTATCTATAAAGAGTGATAAATCAATGGATTTTCCTGCTAACTTAAATGAAGAAACAGTGACCTCTGACCCCAGGTAAAACAGTTTTTTTTTTTTTCAACTTTCCTAAACAGCCAAATCCCATGCAGTTTTCAAAAAAATCTATTGATCTATTGAACACTTGACTGAATCCTGTTAACCCATCCTCGCTTTTATATATATTTTAAAAAGTAATCTTTACTATACCTTTACTCTTCTCTATCCTGTACTGTTCTAGCCTGAACAAGTTCTCAGTCTCCCTAAGGCACTGTCTCCGCTGTCTCCCACTGTTCACCCAAAAATAAAAACTAAGTCATCATTTACTCACCCTGGTGCTCTTCTAATGACGTATGCCCCTCTTTCTTTCCGGACCATAAAAATTTATTTTCTAAAAATGTCCCCTGTAAATCATGAATCATGATTTAAGAAACTCAATGAAATAACACTACATGTAAACCAAAAACAATGTATGAAATGTGCGAAAGGATGCGAATCAAAGGGGTATCAAAATCATATCTGGTAAAATATATATTTCACATGGTCTCCAGTTGTAATCTCTCTTATTTGGTGCTATTTCTTTTTCATTTTAGATCTACACATTCCTCTACATCCCAGACATATCAGACACATATGAATCAGGATAACACTGAAATAGCCCTGAAGAAACACACACTAGAGACTGGAGACCTGCAGAGAGTCAAAGACCAGCACAAACTTAGCATGAAAAACAAGTACGGGAGCATATTTGAAGGAATCAAACCAGAAGAGACCCTCCTGAACAGGATCTACACACAGCTCTACATCATAGAGGGAGAGAGAGAAGGAGTGAAGGAAGAACATGAGGTTTTACAGATGGAGAAAACAGCCAGAACACAACACTCACAAGACAATCTGATCAACTGCAATGACATCTTTAAAGCCTCAGCTGAAGCAGGATCTGAGGAGAAAGAGCAGATCAAGACTGTTCTTACTAAAGGCATCGCTGGAATCGGAAAAACAATCTCTGTGCAGAAGTTCATTCTGGACTGGGCCGAGGG